AGCTGCAACCCGGCTTTGGCGCTTTCTTCTTTCACCTTGATTAGAAGGCTCCTCAGCTCCTCCTCGCTTTCGTACCTAATGCCAAATGCTAAAAATGGCTGAGGGCCTTCCTGAGGTCTCATGTTTCAAGTGAGGAAGCTCCAACGCCTGGGCTGCCAACCCAATGTGATGGTGCTTTCCCAGGACACTTCCACTTCCCTTTCTTCTTTCCTCCTCGCCCACTTCCCCTCTTACCTTTGAAGACGAAGGCCGCTTGCTGGCAGTGCCTTTGCGCCCACTGCAGGAAGCACCGCTCTTTGAGAGCCAGGTTGTGGTGCGACTCCGCAAAATCCCACATCAGGATGTCTCCGATGCCTTTGCTCTCCTCCCACGCCAAGTTGGAGTGTTTAGTGTGGGGGTCCGTGGCCATGAGGAAGACGTGCCTCAATTGGAAGCCCCCCGTCTCTCTCGGTTGGGCCCAGGTACGGCGTAGGATGGACCTCCGATGGTGGGAGGCCGGGTGGGACTTGATGGCCAGGAGGAGCAGTGGAGGGCCCTTTGGGGAGAGGTCCTTCTGGCACAGGTCCTCCTGGGAGACCAGCTCATGGCACTGGTAGTGCTGGAGCTGCGGGAAGAAGTCCTCGTAGACACTCCCGTCGAGGCGGATCGTTGTGGAGCCATTGTTGAGGATGACGGCTTTGTCCCGATGGGGTGGCGGAGGCTCCGAATGGTGCCGAGTGACAAAGCTGGCGTAGATGACGACGCAGATGAGAACCACCACCATCACCCAAAAGCGGTGGGACTTCTTCATGGTGAGCCTGGGTACAATCATAGAAACATAGAGTTGGAAGAGACCTGGTGGACCATCCAGTCCAACCCCATTCTGCCAAGAAGCAGGAAAAACACATTCAAAGCACCCCCGGCAGATGGCCATCCAGCTTCTGTTTCAAAGCCTCCACCACACTCTGGGGCAGAGAACATAGAATCCTAGAGTTGGAAGAGACTTGGTGGGCCATCCAGTCCAACCCCATTCTGCCAAGAAGCAGGAAAAACACATTCAAAGCACCCCTGACAGATGGCCATTCAGGCTCTCTTTCAAAGCCTCCACCACACTCCGGGGCAGAGAGTTCCACTGCTGAACATAGAATCCTAGAATCCTAGAATTGGAAGAGATCTGGTAGGCCATCCAGTCCAACCCCATTCTGCCAAGAGGCAAGAAAATCACATTCAAAGCACCCCCGACAGATGGCCATCCAGCCTCTGTTTCGAAGCCTCTACCATACTCCAGGTCAGAGAGTTCCACTGCTGAACATAGAATCCTAGAATCGTAGAGTTGGAAGAGACCTGGTGGACCATCCAGTTCCAACCCCATTCTGCCAAGAAGCAGGAAAAACACATTCAAAGAACCCCTGGCAGATGGCCATCCAGCCTCTGTTTGAAAGCCTCCACCACACTATGGGGCAGAGAGTTCCACTGCTGAACATAGAATCCTAGAGTTGGAAGAGACCTGGTGAGCCATCCAGTCCAACCCCATTCTGCCAAGAGGCGAGAAAATCGCATTCAAAGCGCACCTGACAGATGGCCATCCAGCCTCTGCTTCAAAGCCTCCACCACACTCCGGGGCAGAGAGTTCCAGTGCTGAACATAGAATCCTAGAGTTGGAAGAGACCTGGTGGGCCATCCAGTCCAACCCCATTCTGCCAAGAGGCGAGAAAATTGCATTCAAAGCACCCCCGACAGATGGTCATCCAGCCTCTGCTTCAAAGCCTCCAAAGAAGGAGCCGCCACCACACTCCAGGGCAGAGAGTTCCACTGCTGAACATAGAATCCTAGAATCCTAGTTGGAAGAGACCTCATGGGCCATCCAGTCCAACCCCATTCTGCTAAGAAGCAGGAAAGACACATTCAATGCACCCCCGACAGATGGCCATCCAGCCTCTGTTTCAAAGCCTCCACCACACTCTGGGGCAGAGGGTTCCACTGCTGAACTTAGAATCCTAGCGTTGGAAGAGACCTTGTGGGCCATCCAATCCAACCCCATTCTGCCAAGAAGCAGGAAAAACACATTCAAAGCACCCCCCACAGATGGCAATCCAGCCTCTGCTTCAAAGTCTCCAAAGAAGGGGTCTCCACCACACTCCGGAAAAGAGAGTTCCACTGCTGAACATAGAATCCTAGAGTTGGAGAGACCTGGTGGGCCATCCAGTCCAACCCCATTCTGTCAAGAGGCAAGAAAATCACATTCAAAGCACCCCTAACAGATGGCTATCCACCCTCTGCTTCAAAGCCTCAAAAGAAGGAGCCTCCAGCACACGCCGGGGCAGAGAGTTCCACTGCTGAACATAGAATCCTAGAGTTGGAGAGAGCTGGTGGGCCATCCAGTACAAACCTGTTCTGCCAAGAAGAGGGAAAAACACATTCAAAGCACCCCCGGCAGATGGCCATCCAGCCTCTGTTTCAAAGCCTCCACCACACTCTG